GGCACTATGTCTTTCTGTGGTAAAATGAATAAGCAACAGACCAAATTTTCACAGTCTTCTCCATAGCAAAAGAGCCTTGCTATAATAATGATGTATGTGTAAGGCACTGGATAGGCATTTCCAGATACTGTGTCATAAGAACACACATTCATGGGTACATATAAACCTTGAAAGAAGAGGCCCATTTAGGTTACAGGAGAATATATGCATTTAGGTATTTAAATATCCTTATAAAATGAATCTGGAGGAATGCACAACAGGGTGACAGAAGAGATGAAAAACACTGAGTACCTAAACAAGCTTTTGTGCCACCTGGTCCTGCATTGATGTATGTGGGTGTGCAATTTTATTTATTGGGAACATTATTTACCTAATACTTATTTTGATTACTAAAATGATAGAAAATACTTCCTCTAAGAATTCTGAGCACCTCTTGTCTGCATAAAGTATATATTAATTATATAAGTATTATGTTGCTCGTTACTGTAGACTATTGTTACAACACTTCCAGTTCCTCCTACATTCCCAACTATGAAAAGAATACCGATAGCCAAGCTCCAAATATAAACCACCATTTATCAATTCAATAATGGAACAAAGCATTGTCCTTCCCCGAATCGCATTCCTATACATCCGACTCCCTCTAACTGCTTGCAGCAATAGTGTGCGTGTGTTTATGTCTGTGCGTAAGTATCTATCTACACTTAAAAACTGTCCTTGCATGTGTACTCCACTCATGGTCTTCATAGACACAACCAGCACAGATACCAACTAGTGCCTGTTCTGGCAGTACATTTGATGATATGGAGGTCTGTTACCCACAGTCGTAGAATGTAAAAATTGGCTGGGGAAGACTACCAAATGGCAGCACTGGAAAATCCTTCAGATGAAAACGAAAGATTCCACAGTGGTGGAATAAGGAAACCTGCGAATAAGGGTTGCAGGTCTGCAAGGCATTTCATGGGAATGGAACCAGGGAGGTTGGTAGAACTCCATGCAGGGGTGGATCTCCATCTCTTAAAAATTGCAGCCCAAGTTCTTGAGGGATGGATTTATCTCACCTGGTTTTATCTAGTTAAAAGAATAGATATTTAGTCCAACTGAGTCAGCAGAATACCTTTCGTTGTTCACAGAGAGAAAAACTGTTATTGATGCCGACCTGAAACTGGTCTGAACTGAAATTAATTTGCGATGGAAATGTTCCATTTGCCACTAGGAGAGCCTAAACTTAGTTTTCAGTCATCTACAGTTAAGTGAGATAAACTCCCTCTGAAGTGAACTTAGATCAGAAGTCATGGGAGCAGGATAGCTGAGATCTTCTGGAAATCTTATCTAATATCTGGGGTCATCTCAGATGTCTAATCATCTTTGAAAACTGAGCTCTGAGCTCCTGTGCTTTCCGCTTTTATTTGTTTCTTTAAAATGACTGGTTTTATGGGTGGGATTAAGTCACAGTGGTTGAGAGAGGGTGAAGATTTATGAACAGCTATGAAAAAGTTATGGGCCATAGTGTTCTTGCAGTGGGGGGAGGCTACACTTGATGCTTCTACTTTTGTGTTTGTGATCATCTGTAAGTTCATTCAAAAGACCACAGATGAGGGCTTCAGTTTATAAGTCAGCAGTCTGGGAGGTCAATTAACTGCTAATTAACTCCCACTTACTGCCAAACATGGTCTTGAAGCTGAAGATAAAAAATTGAAATCCACTTTTTTTTTTTTTTGAGAAATGTTTAGTCCAATATCTGCAGATTTTTGTGTACTAGGAATGTGTAGCTGTTGTAGCTAACTGCTGAGCACTACTTCTCAAAAATACTACTGGTTGAGGTATTACTGATAATTTTGGGGTATTTATTGTATGTTTAGCACCCAACAAGCAATTAATATAGATGTTGTCACCAGTAGATAATGCAAAGATAAGAAACCTAAGCCGCACCAGTAAAAAACTTTAGCATTATTTTCAGGAAGGACCATGAGTGGGATATCGACTGTATCCTGGAGAATTTCATCCAGGAGCTACTTAGCCAGGCCTTTGTCTTGCACATGGCAGGTCCTTAGAGCAAGCAATTGGAGTATGTACGTGAGCCACTTTCTTGCTCATGGGAAAAGCGTCACAACCTGGCAGTATAATAATAAGCCAATAGCCTTAATTTTAAAACAGGGTGTATGCTAAATTAAAAAAAAAAAAAAACAAACATGCAAAACATTCTATGTGAAGTCTATCTGTTTAAGGTATATGCAATACCAGAGCATCGGTGACATTTCAGCTCGCAGTTACAGCGAGGCAAAGGTGCTGGTGAGCTCTGCCATCGCCCACCCTGGGTGACTGTGGTGGCATCTGCGAGGGAGGCAGAGAGCTGGTACACGTATGGTCGGTGAGAGAAACACGGGGCTGACTTAAAAGGCAAAACACCGTAAACACAGAATATGAGGGGAAAAATGTGCAGCAAAACTCACATCCTGAGAGTCTCAGTCCTAAGTGGATCATTTGTTTTTCCCACCAGCCAAACCTGGCTCTGCAGCAAAGCAAGCCAAAGAATGTCTCCTTTATTGTTTCCATGATGCTTACTCATCTACAAGCCATTCCCTTTTTAGATTATTCTATTTTTAAGGCATAATTTCCATCTGTTCTTTGATCTTATACCACATAAGACATTTAGCTAATAACATCATCCATCAAATACCAACTTTCCTTTAGAGTTCAAACACAATCGACACAGGACCCCGTCCATCTGCTGGCCAGTGGCTCTGAACAGATCCAGCTTGTGAATGGCCAGCTATGTCGCCTATTTTTTAATTAACCGGCTAAGGTCTGCGCTTCCCGTAGCGCCGCGGGACGACTAGGGGGCACTCCAAAGGGAAGTGAATCACGCTCCTCCACGGGAGAGGAGAAAAGGGTTTGGTGCATTCAGAGCTGCGATGTGCTTATAAGTGGGGTTTTCCAGTGGGTGGACTCTGCCTTCAGCCCCTCAGGGAATTAATTTTCGCATTTAAAATGCAAGATTTATATAAAAGGTTTGAAGGATAACTGTTTTCAAACTTGGCATTCTTCAGAGGAAGGTGGGTAAAGCAGAAAGATAATGTTTGAAATTTTAAATATCTCTGCTTCTGTGAGCAATCTTCTGAGTTTATTTGAGAGAAACTTCAGCATTTTGGGCAGGTTATCTGAAACGTTGGAATTGCAGATTTGCAGACAAGTACTTATACAGAAAATGCTTGTCTGCTTACCCAACTGGAGAGCCAGGGAATGTCAGATGATTTAGGTGACCAATTGTAGTGAAGCAGCACAGCTTGAATTAGGGATATCTGAGATTAATCAGAGTTTAAAAAAAATCTAAGAAAAACCTGTCAGAAAAAAGGGAGATTAATGAGTAATCCAGGGAAAAGGTAGTTTTTCTATGGATATTTTCCAAGTGCAAACAGATAGCAATTTTTTTAAATTGTTACTTTCAGATTCTTCACTTAGCTCTGTTACCTTGCTTCTCGGTGGTTTGCTTTATCTTGCACACAGTGTATTTGTTTGGGAAGGAATTTGATTCAGGATTTCTATTCCACTGGCTTACATATGCCACAGCGTACGTACCTCCAGATCCGAAACAATAACAACAACAAAGAAGCGCCTACATTTCCTTCTATTTCCTGGCTTGCCAATAATAAGAAGTCCCTGCAGAGGGGAGCTTGGCTGGTGGTGTTTTGTGATTTCTCAGATAACAAGAGCTTCACATTTCTGTGGAATTCCCATTTGCCAGCGAGCTGCTGCTGCCGCTGCCCTGATTGATATATGACTGCAATGGCACTTTTCCATTTGACATTCCCTCTCTCTCTCTCTCTCCCCCTCTCCCTCGCTCTCTTAAACAACAGCTCTAACTTTTGTGTGTTGCAAATATAAAAGGCAAGCCATGTGACAGAGGGACAGAAGAACAAAAGCATTTGGAAGTAACAGGACCTCTTTTTAGCTCTCCGAAGAGTTTGAGGGGAGGAAGGAGCAGTGCATTTTCCAAAGGTAAGCACACAAATAAGAGATTCCTCCAGATTTTGAGTATTATGTGGACTTAAACTGAGCGCTTAATCTCTTTATCTGACAAACCCATGTTCTCCTTGTACCATTTTTAAAATTAAAATACGTTGATGTGGAATCGACACAGCTCCAGTACCCGTGTCTCCTTCTTATCCTTGTATCTTTAACTGTATCTCCTGTCTGAAGGATGCCCGTACACAGTCTAATAGGTAGCCCAGTGTGCTTCTGAGCAACTGGGTTAAACATCTATTCTTGTGAGCGTGCTGGTCTGCAGCTCTGCGCTGGTCCTAGCTGTATGGCTTTGGAGTGAATGGACGTGCTGGATTCCGCCCCGAATTCGTCGAGGCTGGTATCGCCAGCACCCTCTTTGTCCCGTTACAATAGGGCTCTATGAACACAGGCAAGCCTGCTAGTTTAAAGCTAGACTGTTTACTTTTATCACTACTTATGCATGCTGTTCTCTTGCCAGTCATCTGCCGGAGTGCTTAGAATAATTTGAAACAACAGGCAATATTTATTTCTAGCTTTGTGTGTCATGCTTCGCAGGAGCACTCTTAATTTGCACATTATTATTTATCCAAACTTCTGGGAAGATTTACTATGGACTAGACAGCACTGGTTATGGATTAGGACAGATTTAATATACACTCTTGATTGGCTGAAACCTATGAGGAAAGCCACGGCATTTGCCTTTGCTGTAACGCCGTGGGGTATATTTAGTAGGTAGCCGACCCCGTCAGCGTGACACGTAATGCAGCGTGGCTGTGCAGTCAGTAGCTGACACGGGAGGATGCTGCAGGACCCCAGACCGCCTGCTGAAGGAGAGAGGGAGGCTCTCCTCGTTTGCTGGCAGATCATTTCGCTGTGTATCAGCGTCAGAGGCATGAGCATAACTGTTCTCTGTGTCTTTGGGACAAAAGAAGAGTTTTACTGCTATGAGCCCAGTGCTAAAGTGTCAGCGTAGCATAACTGCGGGGCGCGGGAAAGGACAGTGTCCCGAGAGAGCCCGGCTGAGGAAGAAAGCCCCGTCTCCCTGCTAGAATTCAGGTGAGTGAATTCCTCCTATAAAAGTTCAAATGAATGGGTCTGGTAGCAAAAACCAGAGTAACCAGGATGAACCATGTGAAGACCAATCTCAGTACCATGTTAGCTAGCCGCTGCAGTGTCAGTAAAGCAGACTTACACAGAGCGTGTGTTGGGGGAGTTAATTTTTGTGTGGCAAATCTGAATTGCAAGACTGACTCTTGTGGGACAGTCCTGCAGATTTCTTATCCTACCTCTCACATTCATTTAAATTTCTCCCACAGGCTCCCCATAGCACATCTTATTTGTTTCTGCCTGGGACAGATGGCATGACAAGTAACTTGCAAAGGTTTGTGCAGCTCTTTAAAGATGAAAAAAAAGTTTCCTATAATGTTACTAACAGTTCCTAAAGCTTTGTAATTGTCCCAGTGGCTGAGAGGGGAGAACTCTGCATATTGGAAAAGGGGAGGCAAATGATTATTTAAAACCAACAGTGGGGGCAAATTCACTTCAAATCAGTTCCTTATTGCAAAGTTATTTTCTAAGAGAAGCAACCCAGCTGCCTGGTGGGGTCAATAAACGTGGATGTAATAATCACAGTGCTGTTATTTTTCCCTGCTCAAAAGAACATCTACATTTTAGGACCTCTATTTCTTTTCTTTTTTTTCTTTTGAATTACTAACGATGCTCACTTTTGCTTGGGTTGTGGGACCTTACTCATAACTGTGAGTAGTTATACACATGAATAGTTCCCTCGACCTAAATAGAACTATTTGATGAGTAATTACTTACCAGCTTGAATCAGAGGTTGCCAGTGTGACTTATAGATACTTTGACGTACTCTTGCTGGAATAATGAAATCTTATTTGCAATACTGGTATTACAAGAAGATGCTTTAAGATTTTCCAGTTAAAGCAAATGTGGAAGGAATAGATGTTTCAAGTTTACAAAATAAAATGCAATTTGATTTAGTGAAAGGGTATAATTAGGGGCTGCTGCTGATTACTCTAGTTAAAAGCTCAGATCTCTACCTGAATGTGTCCCATATAGGTTTTGCAGTGGGTTTGCGCAGTGCCTGGTTTTGTTCAGATGTGTGTTCACTGATGATTCTCCCTTGCAGAGCAGGATGCTTGTTACGGACAGTCTCGTGTGCAGTTTGCAGTAGCAATACCCCAGGTAGCTGCCTGCTCGTGGCTGATCTCCACAAAAGCCATCCGCCCCACTGGAACAATCCCTCACATGCCATGGACGCTTGTGATACCATCTGTATGTTCTTGCTCGCTTGAGTTGCCAGGATTGCAATCTTTTTTTGCCCAGGTGGGAGGGAAGCAAGCCACCTCCTTGAGGGCTCACGTTGATGGCTGCGGTGACTCAGTTGGCAGGGAGTCCTCCTGGAGTTGGCTTCGTTCCCCATTTCCCCTGGGGTCGGCTGTGTCCCATTCCTGGCTCGTCTGCTCTCAGATGCCCTAGGAAGTGCTCAAGGTTGTTCTCGGACCTTGAAGGGAGTTGACTACCTATGGTGCAAAGCTTACATGAAGCCACTGAGACATTTGTTTTTGCAACAAGTCTGGAGGATTATTTGTTTAACTGAAAGAAGAAGAAAAAAACCTCAACTCTCCCCCTCTCCCCCCATACTACCATTGTAACTACCATTATAAATATTACATAGATGTATTACAAATACTACAAATTCCTCTGCTGCTAATGTCCTGCTGAGTATGAGGAGACACTTGTCTCCATGAGTTTTAGAACACATGAGACTGTGCCACAGTCCCATGTTATTTGAGCAATTCACCTCTTGAGCGTGGCTGGAAGCGGCCACATCAAAGAAATACATAGAGACCCCATGGCAGGCAGCTACAGCGTAACTTGCTGTGGCAAAGGATTTTTCCCTAACCTCATCAACCCTTCCAAAAACTCTTTAAAAATAAAACCCTTGCGACTGTAACCCTCCCATACATAACAGGTCCTTTTGCTGAGCCCAGCTAAACTTTTGCCCTCTGTGATATCTTGTTCCACTGGATCATTGTCGGTTGTGTAAACATGTGTTTCTTTTCATCAGTGTTAAATGTGCAGCCTTTCAGCTCCCCTGGCCTTCTCCACGTCCTGGTAACTTGGGATGGGGTGAGCAGCCATGCCCAGATCACCTTTTTTTCTGCTGTCTTGCTTCCCACTTGACAGCCCTTTTGCTGAAACTCAGCTCAATAGTAGGAGAAAGGTTTAGTCGGGTCAGGTTAGCTTGGGTGCCTGAGTCTCCCAGGCCAAGAGCACCCCGCTTTGCCCACGCTTCTGTGCATTCATATGAAGAGATGCTGCAGTCTCCGCTGACTATGATCAGCTGTTATTTCCTTTTTATATGTGTCAGTGTGGAACATATTAAAATTTCTCAGTAGTGGTATGTTAGGAATCCCTCTGATGCCCCACCTCTAACTTAGCAGAACAATAAAAGCAAGGTTGTAGTAAGCCTTTGAGCAGCTGGCCGTCTATATATTCCTTCTTTTTTCACATAATATAATTCAGACTATTATCCGGATAGCAGTGGCACTACCACTTCCAGACACCATCAGTCCTTGTCCTGTTTGCTGGAATTTCATTGTGTGGCACGGAGATCCTTTCTACCACAGATGAGTGTAACCTTTCTTCTGGTGTCAGGGTATGGGGGCTGCTGGTGCCATGGAGACATTGGTCCTAGGAATTCCACCACATCGCTGTTTTTCAGCTTCTCTTTGTTACTTTTCTATTTGCATCAATCATTGTTATGGCTTACGCTTGTCACTTTTACGTGCTTATTATTACTGAGCTGCAAACTGTGTCGGTCCGGCAGTGCGGAGGCAGCACAGGTTATGTTGCCCTTTAAGAGATGTGAGCTGAGGATCTGAGTTAATGCCTCAGCTCTGGTTTGGCAAAGGTTAAGCATACCATGGCAGTGACAATCGCATTACTGTCATAGCAGCACAGCTCAAAAAGAGTGGGACCTAGGGGAACGCTGTTCCCCTTGTTAGAAGACATAAAATTGTTACCATGAGCCAAATATTTAGGTTCCCTAATTATCAGAGGCCAGGGTATATGGACGGTGGTCTGAATTTTGCCGGTGTATAAATGAAGAGAGGATTTTCCCCCTAGGGTCAGAAAAGAGGGAACATCCCCTTCAGTGGTGCTACCGCCAGCATGCATAGCACTCTCTGCTGGTCCCAGCGGCAGGGATGTCTTCGCTTAGCATTAAAGAATAGGAAACCCCTTCCTACCCTGCATCTATTGATAACTGCAGTCCTTTGAAAGACCACAGTGTAAAAGAGAGGCCACAAAAACTGCCTGCCTCCTTGTAACACACTCCAACAGGTAGAGGACACATGCCTGAATGTGCTAGACTTCTCAGCAACTTGTCATTTGGCCAAGAGTCATTTTTCCTCATGTCGGGTCATAAGACTAAAGTAGAGGTAATTACTGAAGCAAATCCTACAGCTAATGCTTGCCTGGGAATATTTGCATTTTAGCCAGCAGCCACCCTTGCTGGTTTGCCTCCTGAGAGGGATGGGAAACCTTACTTAGCTTGGCTCTGCACCTGGTGGTTCACCGAGGAGTGGTCCCATCCAGCATCTTCTGAATCAGCAAGTGGAAAACTGTATTCTTCTCAATTTCTGTCCCAGACTCAAGACCACGACTACTCTGATATTCAGCAAGACACAAGAATAAAGAAAGAATCCAAGGCTGGCATCATCTCGCCATTAAATGGCTCTACTAGCTCATTAGAGAGAGATCCCATACATGCCCTTAATCAATCTATTTAAAGTTTCCTGGAAGCAGGAAAAGGAAAGAATAAAAATACAAACGCTCTTTTGTCCACCAGTAGTTATTCTTTGCGAGTGTATTAAAAACCCTTTTCTCCATGTTGGCCTGTGCCTGTCTGCTGGCAGGGCGCCAGCTTGCAGTACCCACTAGAGTTTGTTATTTCAACCGCCTAGCAGGAAGGCACTGTTAGCTCCCCCTCTCCTAGCTACCTGAAGGACTGGTAATATTCCTGGAGACTTCAAAAGGAGAGGGAAGCTCAGCCAACTCAAGTGCTGTTCAGCTTAATTTGTTCCACCTCATGCACAGGGTCCCCGCCGCGTGAACACTTACGGGGGCCTTACATGAGCCACCCCATCGAAGCCTGGGGAACCAGTCCCTTGCGTGCTCACCACATGTGTTCTCACCCCATGCGTGCTCACCCCATGCATGCTGATGCTCCCAGGGGTGCTTGCAGCAGTGTGTTTTTCCATTAGACTTGCTCCAACTACTACATTGTTTCTTATGCTTCGAATACCATGGTCTTCCTGTTTTTTCAGTCTTCTTACAATCACAGGTGTTCATCTCCTGAAATATTAAAAGATTTAGCAAAGCCTCACAGCAGAAAATGATGTGCAGAAGTTTCTCTCAACTACCATCAGTGTGATTGACATTTCTGGCGGCTCAGAGGTAGTGTCCTTTTTCGCTTCTTGGTTTTTATGGGATAATGATCTGCAGTTGCTGGCTGGCAGGCAGTAGGACAGCGCAGCCTCAGTAGGACCAGAAGATGTGCTTCCCTCCTGTGGACACCCACAGATGAAGATGCTTAAATCCCTTCTTTTGAGCCTGTTTTGCTTTCTACTGCCTTTTTCCTTCCCCTCTCCTCTTGCCCACCAGCTGCTGCCAGCTCTGGCCAGGAGTGCGTGTTACTTGTGCACCCTCCTCACAGGCGCACGCTGCCCTGCAACCTGCTGTGCAATGCGTGGATGGAGCTCCTACACGATGAGTGAGAACATTCCCCTTGGTGTCAAAGGGGACAAGCTTCAGCACAGCTGGATGTCAGCAGGGCAAACGCTCATTTAGCACAATGAGGCCTTGGGGAAGCATTTCACTTATTTAGACCTGTAAGGATCTCACTCAAAATATTTAGTTTGGTATTTGCTCTGTCTCAGGAGGGAAAAAAAACCTGTTCAAATGCTGCATGGAGGCATTTCACAAACAATTGGAGTTCCCTGGGTTCACCTGCTGCTTCCCGGCTG